AATGATTTTTATCCATTATTTATCTATTGAAACTTACTTTTTATTAATCTCTTATATCTCACATATTTCTTTCCTTTCTTTTATTTTAACCAAATTATTTTTGGGGGGAGTGTATTCAATATACCTGAAACGATCTCCTAATAATTGTGCATTGAATTAAATGCTTTAAGTTCTGCTCTAAAATACATATTGTGTGTTTGTTCGAAACTAAAAAAAAAATAGCATTTTCAAAAAGATTCTAAAAAGTATCCTTAGTATTCAGTTTACCTGAATATGATTTATTCAATATTCGGTATATTATACAATATTTGCCAAGATGAATTAGAATATAATTTTGGAAATTACCGGTCTCCATTTTTTTTTATTAAATTCAAATGATCACTCTATTTGACAAATACCACCTTAAATGTTTTAGAGGTCCATTCCCTGTCCCGCTTTGTCTTGTTTCATATGACTTTGAGCATGAGTGATGTAAATTCACTGAACATCTTGCTTATTCTGTTTACATTTGATTCCTTCAGAAGACACACGAGTATCTGAACAAAATTTCCTTGTGAAATGTGGCCCTATAAATTGTTAAATTACTAAATATGTTTTCATATTCTGATCAATATTTTTTTTTTAAATTGGAGAAGATATGATTCATATTGCAATTGTGTGTTTTAGATGATCAAAGACCTAGGTCCGACAACTCGAACGAAATATTAAATTGTTCAACGATACCAAATGTTCCGTTACATGGTGTGTCATAACATGTAACGGAGTATTTAAACTTATAAATAGAAAGTTTAAAAGGCATTGTTGAAGATTTTCAATGGATAAATCTTTCTGTATTTTTATTTTCAGTTAATCAAGCATATACTAGGCAATCAAATATCTATATGTCTCTATCATTATTACATGTCGTTGTACATGGCATACCATCTCCTGTATATGCGCATCAGAAGAGTTTCATTTCTTTTAAAGACGTGATGAATATTAAAAAATCATATTGATTTTTTCATGTTCTTTTTAGGATACCATGCATCTAGAAAAACTTGGGCCCAAACCACGACACAAACATCGTTAGATCGTGTTATATATAACCCGTCAGCTACAGGAAATAGCTACAGAGAAGAATCTAGAAATGTTCCGATATCCACCCCACCACCTGGTAATACCGTACAAAGACAATACCATATTGTACAAGATGATTTAACTGAATACTTAGAATTTTCAGATGATGGTTTTGAAGACTTGCCAGATCAACCACCTTCATCCTATAGCATTTTATTTAAATAAATTGATCCGTCAATGTCTTGTAATCGAAAAAAAGTTCGCACTTTTTTTTCAAAATTAAAAAATGATTTTAAGTGCATATAAAAACAAAGAAAATTGAAAATGGAAAATAGATTTACGTGCTAATATCAATTTTTTAAATTATTTTCATAGTAAAATGATGATTTACTATAACTTAACTTGTTTATCACCTACAGTATTGTTGATTTTTTTTTCTGAAAAAAGACTTGCGACCAAGCACTGAACGAACATGTTTCTTAAAAAGATATTTGAATACAGCATAATTATGTCACACATCACTGAATGCTTGCCAATGAAACATGTAGAAATTATGAACAGTATTCAAGATAAAAAGTCCATAAAACAAAACAAAATAGGAGCAGAGCAAACTCGAACCTCCAAAACATCAAGATCGGATCAAGTCCATGGAGGAGTAAGCATCCCCTGCCGAACAGTCACACCCGCCGTGTGCTCCTTGTCATGATTGGAAAATAATCTCTCATCAATTCAGGACTAACAATTAGTATGAAAAATATCAGACAGCATTCGGCTCAGTGATAAATTGTATTTACTGACAAGGTGATAAACAAAATAGCATTGGCTATTTTGATAAAGATCATCATGATTGTAAAGAGAGAAACAATGAAGTTAACATTAAAAAACAAGATGTGTGTGGGAAAGACTGATGCCCCCTCCCCCCTCATATGGTAACTTATGGTGAGGGTTGAATTTTCTTAAAGCAAGACAGACTCCAAAAGTCAAAGTCGAAATTATTGCTTAAGAAGGGAATTGTTACAAGGAATATACCAGTATGTTAAATTCAGTTTGATTAAATATCTCTCTATTTGAATATAAATTCAAAAAATTAATACATTATAGCATATCACAAATAAATGTCCTTTGTTTTTCATATTCTGAAAATTGACAATTTCTTAAAAGTATAGCTTTTTCAACTAATATTCTATCTACATTTTTTTCTAGCATTGCGATACTTGATTTGGGCATATTTTAAAACCTACTGGCAAAAATAAATTGTTTAGCAGTAATTATTATTATATTGTGAAATCTAAACGTGTTTTTATTATTTAACCTCCCCAAACAGTGTATCCTTTCTATCAAAATTAATAATAAAATGATCTTTTTATAAACAGCTCCTCAATGTGACACCATATTTTTACACAGAAAAAACTAAAAAATAAATGTTCAATTGTTTCAGCTTCTTGTGTACAAAATGGGCAAACAGGAGAATCAACTAGTTTAAGTTTATAAAGGTATCTATTTGATGCAATAATCTGTGCAGAATTTGAAATTGCATCCACTGAAATTTTGCTTCTTTCGTGTCTTTAAATGGTAGTTAAAATATTTTATTCCATTCTAACTCGCCAAAAATATTCCATAATTTTCCCATTTTTCTAGTGCCTTGAGTGCTTGCTTTTTCTTGTTGGTGAGTATATTATACAAATCTTTGCAACCAATTGTGCTTTTATTTAAAAAATTGAATTTGGGATAAAAGGTCCTTTTTTTCCCTTTTTTCAATATCTTTGTAACAGATATTTTTAACCTGTATATTCTACGAAATTAGTTTGTACATATAGATTGTTAAGGTACTCAAGGCTTAAAAATTTTCCTTCAATGCTAAAAGACCTCTTATAAACACAAAGCCTCCATCAAAATAACTTTTCAAAAATATACATGAATTGTTCATTTTAATTCTTGGGTTAAACCATATATGTTCATGAAGAATTAGACTATTGCATATATTTTGACTACCACTACAGTCAATGATTTTTACCCAATTAAGTCAAACCTCTTCCAAAATTTGTTACTTAAAGGTCAAAAGTATTTATATCCACTGAAAGGTCTTGTCATAATGAATACATCTGTGAAGTATGAAAACCCTAGATTCAACTTTTTAAAGTTTGGTATTTTTCGGAAAAATCAGTATAACAAGCGCCTGGACTAGTGATTCAAAACGTCTGTATTCGCACAATGGACTACCACGCGTACACAGTGACATTTCTTTCTGTGACCATCGCATGGAAATGTCAGGTGAAAGACCTGCTGTGAATGTAGACAATATGAGATTTCACACTGAATAATGCATTGCACTCTACCCCTTTACTTTCTCCCCAACTCCCTTCTTTGTGTTGACTTAAGTGATACAAGAATGATATTGTAACCTCATTCTAGAAGAAATTTTAAAAATAATTTAAATGTTTAATTTCATGGAATATAATATTAAAATATCAATGTATTGAAACTCCTAAATGTGAAAAAAATGTTCCCTCTATCTTAAAGGTCGCCCGCGTTGCGCAGTGGTTAGTGCTTCTGCTCTAGAGTCGTGAAGTCAGGAATTGCTCCTTATGTCAGGGTAGAATTCCACTGTGAAATGTGGAGACCGGTCCTTCGAATGAGACCGTTACAACCGAGGTCCCATGTCGCAGTAGGTGCTGGCACAAATTTGGATCTCTCCGACGGCAAGAAGTAGAGTCTCCATATGTGTGAAATATTCTCACGAGGGGCGTTAAACAATATACAATCAATCAATCAATCTGTCTCAAAGTCCATCTGTTTCTTTCTTTAATGTAAATTAATTGATCTCTACATCAAAAACTATTGCATTTTCAACTAACCCTTTTTATAATACTTTGAAGTATACACATGTGCAGGAAATATGACTTCGTAAGTCACCAGGTCAGTTGTGCTCTTGACTTTCAGGTTCCTTTTTGGTTGCTGGTGGAACTTCAGTCATCAGCAACAATCCCCAAGCGCACTCTGTTTCTAGCAGCCTTTTTCACTTGTTCCCAGCTCTCTCCACAGTCTGTTTTGAGCAGTTTTTTTTTCTTTGCAATATATACTCAAAAGATGTCAAAAGATAAAGGGAGAGGTTTTTTTAAGTTGCAAGAACTTGTAACCAATCCCTTTGTATAAATTATACTATAAAATATGTTCAAAACAAAAGATATTTTCTTATTCATTTTTACGTATTTTTTTATATTTTAAACTTTACACATTAAACTAGCTAAAAGGCGGTAGAAAATCCCCACTCTTTACCTGTATTCCATTGCACAGCATTTATACACAGGGAAGCAAATTCAAGAATGTTTTAGTTCAACAGGTAAGATTACATGCTATGTAATACTACTTTTATTTAATCCAAATCCATGCAATCTTTATCTAATTCTCAGTGTATATGCATCTTTACGTATTCATTTTAACATACGTAGTATACATTAAATGTTTGGATAGGTAGCTTTTCACAAGCCACTAGAAAGTGCTGACAAGTAATGCACACCCACAATACACTCTTTACTGTTATTTTGTTTTAACTGACTGGAGATCAGACAAATTTCCTTTGTGACTTACTTCAAGGACCCCATACTTTCAGGCTGAGGGGTACGCTACTGTAATTTGAAAATATTCATACTAAAAACGATGCATTTTATGAGAATAAGTATGTTATAAGGTGTTTATTAAAAGGATGATGTAGTGGAGTAACATTTGGGCAGATCATCGTTTATCCATGCACTTCTGTATAAATACTTTAGTTCTTCAAAATACTTTCATGTTTATTACATTTCATCACAGGAGTTTATTGATGCAATATTTATATTAATCCCTTGTTTATGAATGTATTTGTATATACAGACGTCTGTCATATTTTATAATTTATAAAAAAGAAACTAAAGTGTGTCACTCAAGCGTGAAGTGCAAAATAACTTACCTGTGTTCCATGTTTTTTATCATTTCAATTTGATTCTAAATACTTTCCCCAGGCGTCTTCGCAGATATTATATATTCCTTGTAAAATTTCCACGGGAAGATAGCCATATCTTCGATAGTCCTGAATAGTTCATCCGGGATAGTGAAATTTTCCTCATGATGTTTATATACTTGTCTTGGGTTTTTCCCGCACATTTTTAATGGTATTCAAATCTGATGTGTTGATTGTACGGTCTAGCTAATGCATTTGTTCCTGGATTTATTATTTTTTCCCAATGCCTTGGGTTCGGTGGATCGGTCTTTGCTTTGGTGGATCGAAACATTATCTTCATGCATTTTTGGTTGAGAAAATTGGCTATAACGGACCACAGGTGATATTTATATCTGTGTGTGTTTTCAGAGCGGTAAGTACAAGCGAAAATTGTGCATGAACACCATGATAGTTACATTTACATGTATGCATCTCCGAATCATAAAAATGATTCTTACTTCAGACAGTCGGGAGACTCCGTCTTATCCTTTTGACGTCATATATATAACCTATTGTTTTGACCCAAAGTAACTTAATATTCATCAAACAAATGTATTTTTCCCACTGACGATTCACATCCTTCACACGGACTTCCATCTTTACATGTATCTATGGTAACCTTCTCGGCAAACGAGGTAGCTTTTCCAGTAAACATTGAAAACGCCATTTTTTTTTCTAAAAATAGAATCCAACCGGAAAACATTAACCAACCATTTTTTCCAATCTTTTCATAATATATACGTAGCTTAAGATAAAGGAAAGGTTAAAACCGTATATATGATTAATGTTTGGAGAACATGTTGAAAAACATATATCTTTTATTTTATCGTTTGTAATGTATTTATGTCTTATGTATTGCTATAATTAGAAGAATACTCAACGCAATGCTTTGTAAATAGAATAAAAAGATTTTTTTTGCGTAAAAATAAGCAAATGAATTCAATAAATTAACTTTAATTTGTGAAATATAATTTCTCAATACATTTTCTTCATCATTGATATATTTAAAATATTTTATTTCGATCTAACATTTTATAACAGTTTTTGTTTTAAAACTACAACTTCTTATTACAACCAAAGAAACATGTAATTTGATAAACAACCTGCTCTTGGTTTAGCTTCTTGACAAAATTAAAATTGAATTTTCGTACAATTTAATGGGCATAATAATTACCATTTCAAAATCTTTAAGTATTTTTTAATAAAGGCCTATTTTCTAATAAATATTTCTATTGTTTTTGTTTAATTGTGTATTTAGTAAAGCCAAATGTTTAATATAAAGTTATTCTAAACCTTGATAATAATATTTTTACAGGTCCTAATATCAGCAACATACTCTGTATTATCTAGATTGAGGTAAATATAGTCATTTGACAGAGTGTGTATATTTTCCTTATTAGATTTTTTTCTCGTTTGAAGTAAATATGGTAGATGGATATGTTTTTGTTTGTTCGCGTATGTATGATATATGTAGCTCATGGACGATCTTTTTTCTTCTTTATTTCATTTTTCGCTTTATTTTTTTTTCATGTTAAGTTTCTTATGATAATATTCCATTTTTTATTCATTTTTTATCCATTTTATTTTTTTTTCATCTTTATTTGATTTTACACCATATACATGATAATGTCTTACATCTAACATTAGTGATAATGGATCTCGTATGTATTTACTTATAATGAATTTTATCAAAAGGGTTGAGTTTTTAAAACAAAGAAAAGGTAACAAAAAGAAGAAAAAGGTGTTCTAATTGTTATACTTTGATAATGAAAACATATATAAAACAAATTATGAAAAAATATTGAAAATAGTAAATTGTTGTAAAGTTTAAGATATTACTTTAAGAAAATGACAGAAGTGAAAACTTTTAATTTAACATTTAAAAAAAAAACATTAGAAACATCTTGTTTTCAGAAGATACATTTTGGAATAGGAAATTGCACAAAATAGTAATATAGTTTTTTTTATTTGTTTTATAAAAATGTTAAAATAGATATTCAGCAAAAACCTTTCACATGTTTCAACAAGTAAATTAGGTGTTACTTCTAGAAATCATTAAAATAAAAAACTTTTAACTTGCAAAAATTAACAAACATACACACAGATGCGAAGATAAAAATAGGGCACAGTTTTATGACGTAAAATTCACCAAATTTAACCAGATTTTTATTGTTCGAGTGAGATTGAAGACGCTTTTTAAAAAATTTATTTTAAGTTTACAATTGCATAATTATGATCTCTATTAATTTAGTTTTTCATATCATATACATTCTAGTACCTATACAGAGAAAGTTAAAATCATTCTGTTGGATCAATGTAAATTTACCTTCTTTCCTTATACATATACCAGCAAGTCCTTTTGGTGTGTTTATTACAGACTTATAGAGACAAATCTTAAATGCTGAAACTAATGTTTTCAAATTTATGCATGATGGAACTTCAAGGTTTCGCAAACTTATTAGATCATGCTTAGTATCTGTTAGCTGCATGAGATTTTAACATTTTTTTCATTTGTTTATGATCATAGTGTGTACATGCAAGTACATTCATTGCTCAATACATTGATGAGAAAAAGTTTTGTCCTTTGAGGGTAAATACGTAATTGGACTCCATTTAAATAGGAAATTCAAAAAAAAAACAGTGTCATCTTGAAGATTTTTTATTGCTTCTCTCTCCCTGCGGACTGGTTAATATGGTCAAACTCAGTTTTTGTTTGTTTTGGATTGTTTGTTTTTGTTTGCATTTTAGATTGTTTTATTTTCCTTAAAAATAACTATTTTTTTATATATTCCGAAAAACATAATTCAGCATTTATGTTGAAATGTTGAAAGATACATAAATTACCAACATACCGACCAATGTTGGTCATACTGAGTCGCAATATAGGGCACACAAACTATATTTACACATGTTGATATTCGCCTACTGCAATTAACTGATAAATTTCATATATTTTTACAGTTAAGCTAGGTTATATTGAGTATTTCATTTTTAGATTGAGATACTAGGTAAAGACATCCTTGGACATATTTTATAGTTCCCGAAATCTAAATCAAAATATTCCTCTACAAAACAAGTTTGTAAGAAACATCAGCAAAATAGGTTTGACATATACTCAACAAGAAAAGTTAAGGGGTTATGTATAATGTGCTGTATTTAAATTAAGAAAATTTCAATTCTGAAATTTAATATAAATTGATGTGATGAATCTTGATGAAAATTTTATGTGGATTTTAATGATGGAAGGTGACAAGTGTGGAAACAGAAGAATAAGCGTTTAAGTGACTGCTGCGTGGCTCAACATGATCGCTTTGGAGGAGGTTTTGTTATGGTGTGGGAAGGCATTTTGATTCAGGGATCCACGGGGTTGCACATCATCAGAAATAGAGCGTTGACCGGTATCAGATACAGAGGTGAGATCCATCAGCCAATTTTAAGAACATTTGTCGGGGCAATGTGAGCAGAATTCGTTTTTATGGATGATAACTTCAGGCCACACAGAGCAAACGGAGTGAACCAGCGTCTTGAGGCAGATACTATCGAGAGAATGGAGTGGCCTTCGAAGTCACCAGACCTCAATCCTATTGAACATGTCTGGAATGTTCTTGAGAGGCAAATTCAGCAGCTTGATCCTGCTCCATGCAATGGCCATGAACTTGAAGTTGCTCTGTTAGAGGAATGGGATCGGATACCGCAAGGGACCAACCGTTCAATCATCCAAAGTCTCCCCAGGCGATGCAGGGCTGTTATTCAGGCAAGGGGAAGCTTCACCAAATATTTAGAGTTGTTGGATAATTGTCCATTTTGAATTAAACAATTTATGTAATTACTGTGCATTTGGAAATTCACTCTGAATATGAGGGTATCAATAAATGTTAATCTTGTTCTTCTGTCCAAGTGAACATTTACCATTAGTTTCTTATTAAATGTGTAATAACTGTACAGAGGAAATTATGTAATTTATTTTGATTAAATATACTTTTTCGATGTAGAAATTATTAATGAAGGTTTTCATAACCCTTAACTTTTTTTGTTGAGTATATCTTACTTTGTTCTACAGAAACAAGGTACCGTTCACGGTATCTCAGTCGGTAGAGTGCTCGCTTCGTGATCGGGAGGACGTGAGTTCGTATCTCGGCCGCGACTGACCCAGTCGATCAAATGGGTAGCAACTGTTCCTTCGCCATGCGCTTGGCACTTTGAAGTAAAAGTTGCGGTTCCTTCGGATGAGACCTTAAAAACCGAGGCCCAGTGTCAGCGGCAGGCGTTGGCACGATAAAGATCCCTCACTGCTCAATGGCCCTGAGAGCCGAGTAAAGGTCAAAATTTGAAGCCTTTCACCGGCATACGGTGACGTCTCCATATGAGTGAAAAATTCTCGAGAGGGACTTTAAACAATATACAATCAATCAATCAATCAGAAACAAGGTCTAAATTTTAAAGGATGTTCCAAGTAGCAATGAATACCAATATTAATGTTATGTTACTTTTCGTTGGATTAAACTACGCTAGAAGTTTCCTCGACTCTTTATCAATTGAGAAAGTGCTTAACATTTGCACAGCAATTTTATTTATTTTGGAATATTATTCCGTTTTTTTAGAGTGTACATTATTTATTTCAAATAGGATATGTCATTGTGCCGAAATTGTTTTGTTGTAGTGTTTTATAAGGTGAAATGTTTTAAAGCTTCTACATCCTGTGGGTACTTAGTAAGTATAAGAAAATATATTTGAACGTTAACTTTCTCTTGATAAAAGATATACATCATATGCATTTAAAAGAAAAAACATATTTGTATGGGAACACCTTTACCTATCCTTTACTCACTTGCGTAACTTTAGATACCCGGGAGCTTAAAGATACGTTTGTTGTCTTTTTAATCAACAAGATATACTGAGCTTTTTACATACGCTTCATGACTGAGCGGTGACATTTATTGCACATGTCTGTAAAAGTAGAATATGTATTTTCAAGGTCTTTTTAACATGTACTATTTTTGTGTCACTTTCAGAGCAGAGCGATACTAAGGGATCCATTTAATCGACGTTTGTTTGTCTACTAGTACTTGTTTGTCCGTCCTTTTATCTGTCTGTCTGTCACATATTCTGAGGTAAGGATTTTATATTTTGACCTATTCCTAGTATCTGGTATTGTATTCTATCTATAATACTTCGGTTGGAAGGGAATTATCTCAAAATAGTTCTGAGGGTTTGAAATGAATGTTTAGATCCTATAGCTTCATATATTGAATTTCAGATCAACTTCATCAAGTTCAAATTTTTGCGAAAAATTGTTCCAGATGATAACATTAAATGCATTTGAGTATTTGTAAGGAAGTAATATACCATATTTCTTAATAACGCTGGCACGTAGCATGAAAGGGGGATGCAATAACATCTTACTATTGAAAATGACAATTGAAGCCGGTTCCCCTTTTTGTTACAAAAAAGTCGAGTAAAGGTAATGTAGTAGGGTATTAAAAAATGGGCTCTGAGGGAAATTTGATTCAAACCCCCTCCAACCCACTTCCTACAATTTTTTAGTTTGGACGAGTTTCCCCTTTTTGGTAGATAAGGTTTTTAGGCACGTAAATTCTCATTTCAAAAATGTCGATGTGACATAAGAAACATTCGTATTTAAGGTTAAAGTCACAGGTTCTTAATATTCAAGTCATACATGTATAATAATATATTGCATAGATTGATTCTCTGATTATACAAGTCCTTTTTTAGCCCTTTGCAATATACATGTAATATTAATAGCCAAACATCTTATGACTTCAAGACGAATCTTGTAGATTTTGAAGACTAAAGCCTCGTGATCAACGTAAAAATAAAGAATTGCATAAAGTAGTTTTTTGTTAATAACCTTAGATCTCTTTTTGCTAATGCATATAAAGCTTGATATCATGAATCTTAATAAGGACAAACCCCAAAACAAAAAGGTCAAAGGTTAACATCACCCCTTATCTTTCCTTCGGATTAGGTATTCAAGGCTTTTTTTACTTGGGTCGAGGGACATAAATTTCTTGAAATAGCTTCAATCAATGTTTCTTTCATTACCTTTTTAAAGGAGCGTTCCTGTTCCAAAAACAAAACTCACAGTGATTTTATGTTAAGCATCGACATCATAATAAATACCTGTCCTGTATTCCCGAATGAAAATTATCGTTCTATTGTAGATTGCATTTTATGAAACATAAAATGGTCAATGAGTAAAACTTATGGTTTGGTGAAAACAGCTAAAGCAATCCTCTGTGATGACAGTTGGGTAAATCTCTCTCTCTCTCTCTCTCTCTCTCTCTCTCTCTCTCTCTCTCTCTCTCTCTCTCTCTCTCTCTCTCTCTCTCTCTCTCTCTTAACAACTAAATCAGAAAAAGCTCTGCATCTATTTTTTTTTTCAAAGAGAAGCATTCAAAAGAAATATAAGAAAAAGTTGTACATATAATAGCAAATTTATTTTTTTTCGCCAGACGTGTACATGTATCCTTTCATTTTGTAGGGATTCCATTACATATATTGGTGTTTCCGCCATAGGTGCGCATATTTTACTTTTTATATGCATCGTCATAGCTTATGTTAAAAAGTACGGCTGCCAGAGAAGAACAAAGACACGATACTACCAAAATACTAATACATTTTCAGGTATTTTAATTCAATAAATCAATACTGAGAGCTACCCAAATTTATACAAGTAAACTTGATTCTTCGGCGTCAATATAATGGCCAACTACTTCCTAACTAAAATTGAAACAAGTATTTTACATTTTGTCATTGGTCATTTGCAAAACCATTTTATTTACCCATTCTGACTCTACAAAACAGTTTATCATAAGATAGAGATAATTATGTTTATCATTATTAATATAACAATACCGTAATCTTCTGAAATCAGACCTTGGATTCCCTCAGGTAAATATTTTTACCCTGTGATAAGAAGAAATGATCTTGTATTCAAATGACTCGGAATTGAAAACCTTCACATATATAGTTTTGATTTTCATAAGATAAAGACATATCAATACAATAAACTAATAGACATATGTAAGAGAGTGAGAACCCTAAATTCATCATCCATAAATTAAAATACATTTCCTAGGCATGTGTATTGTATTTAGATGATAAACAGATACATACGATAAACAAAAGATAAAAATTGATATTGATGTCGTTTCTACTCTTGATGCATATAAAGTCCACAGCAATAAAATGATTCATTTGATTTTCTTAGAATTTGATCACTGACATCCAACATATTGTGTACATGTTTACGCAATGATGCAACTTTTGTTACTTTTGTCCCAGAAATCCCGCGAGATTTGTACATTTTGTGATTTGTGTTTTACAAAAGAGCGCACAAAGAACTTTAACTCTTCCATAGTGGAAATAGGACGGATTGCAAAGTCACAAGTTAACGTTATTAGAAATGTTCTAAATTCATCTTTACAAGCGTCAACTGTCGGACATGTATATACAAATGTACCACTATAACATGCAAACGCAAGAGAATGTTCTATGTACACTTTATTTCAAAGTGAACTAATTGGAAAATAACTTGTTCCAGTTGACTTTTAACATGATCACTGTTTATTTTCGTTACATTTCTTTCTTCCCGAAAACAGTTTATTTTAGTGTTTGATTTGATTTTATTGTTGCTATTGAAAGTTTTGCAGGGATTAGGTTTTATTCGGTGCTTATATATTTTAGCTGAACAAATATCAAGGCAACCAGAGGCTAACAGATCAGTCACAACAATATCAAATGGCGTTTTAAATGGTTTGTCATTTACGATATATCTAATTCTCAAAAGAAATTTTGGTAAATTTAATATTTAATGATATAAAAAGGCTTCAAAAGAATCCCTTTTTTCCGTTTTTATTCTCAGTAAACCAATCATCAGCCGGGCAGTCAAATGTCCATATGTCACCGATGTTGTTAGATGCAGTTGTACATGGTATCCTTAATACAAATTATTTGAATTTCAACTTTTTTATTTATTTCAAAGTAATTCTTATTTATCATAGGATTTAATTATATATGTTGTTAAACAAAATTTTTTTAGGATATCACGCATCAAGACAAACAAGGGAACAAACATCCTCAGATCCTGAAATACATAGCTTGTCACCTACAGAACATTGCGACTTAGATCAATATGATGAAGAATCTAGTGTTTCATCAATGACCACATCATGTCCTCCATACTTAGAACATGAAGGACAACATATGGAACAATTCGACCTAAATCAATGTGATGAAGAATCTAGAAATTCACCTATATCTCCCCCTTGTCCCCCATATACAGAACACGAAGACCGTTATGTGGGACAGTTCTTTCCGACTGATTACCCAGGTGATTGTTTCCAAGACTGGCCAGATGATCCTCCGCCTGCGTATAGTAGTTTATTTGAAATAGTTAGACCTGCTGATGCTTTGCTTTTAAAATGATGTGGACATTTTTTCTTGAAGGTATTTGTTTGTTTAAAACCCAGCATGTAAAGACTAATTGCTAAATGCATACATTTATGATGTTTATTATATTGCAAGGCAGCGATGATTGATGATAAATATTGTTAACATGTACCGGTATATTCTCTTTTTACCTACAATTAAGTTGATAGTTTAAGATAATTGAGAATTACCTTTGCTATAACTGTCTACCCTTGAGACATAATTTTACAATTTTAGATATGTATATATATATATATATATATATATATATATATATATATATATATATATATATATATATATATATATATATATATATATATATATATATATATATATAACTGATTGCACAAAGATGTGAAATAACTGAATAACGAATACCACAAAAAAATCAAATACCGAATTAATTTGTTTTGTACTATGCATTTTCATCGACGTTACAAAAATTGATTATTCTAAAGATCATAATAATGCCTGATATAATTTTATTTATCTCATGTTTACCCCTTTATCCAGTAGATTTAGCTCATATGATATCGTTTTCGTATCCCACAGTTGTAACGTTATAGCGTTATAAAGTAAAATAAAATGGAGTCCTATATAAAAACAGTGTAAGACATTGATTGTGGAGTAAAAAATAAAATGTAAGAACATGGGATAAAGTGAATCTCAAATGATTTGTAGTTGAATGTGATTTTTATTCAACTCGCTTTGTGATAAAACACCTTTTATTTACAATGCACTTTTTTCAAAAATATGTAAAACATATATCGCACATTTTGTCAATAAAACTAGCATGTGCATGTTAGTTGTAAATATGTTGCCTTTCAAAAATAAGGAACGGAAAATGAGATATCGTTGTCTTTAGTGTCATTTTAACTCCCATTATTATTGACAATACCAGTACAAAATTATATGCAATGCATTTCACGACTTCAAATTATGAACATCACGCGTGCACATTTGTATTAATCATTGATGATATTTAACAATGCCAATATAAAAAAGGGGAGAAACTTGATTGTTTTTCTACATGTTTCTTAAGTATGAAATAATAAAGTTTTTAAAGACAGTATAATTTCAGACAACACAAACTTTTAATGAAATTGTACTGTAAAATAGTGATAAGTACATTAATATTTTATAAATAATTTTATGGCACATCTTTGTAGTAAAAGGGGGATAACTCTAACATTACACTCCACAGACATGTAGGTTTGATAACTTGGTTTGATTTGACGAGTGGTGCGCACCTCCGGAAATACGTCATAAAAACCACCACATGTACTATTGACTTGATTTTACAAAACCCAACCCACTCTCCCCGGGCCCCTTTTTGGTATTTCTTTTAATACAGATAGCCTTTTAGCCAATGTCAAAGGTTTATGGATAAGTTTTCCCCCATCTTTGATGGTTGTAGCTTTTTTCACATTATCTAATCATTTTTAAAAGTGTTTAAATTTGAAATTCATATGTATATGGTTGCTTTTAATTCTAAACTGTCACATATGTTATATTTGTGATCATACATTGTATCATACCCGATTATGATTATGGGTTAGTGTGATTATGATTTTGGCACTTCTTGGAACTGATTTGTAATTACTGATTAGCTAGATTGACTGATTATGATTGATTATATCAATTGATTGTGAATTTTGATTTTGAATTGTATGATTATGAATTATTGATCTGACGAATTATGATTGATTAGATTGATTGTGAGTTTTGTCTTCGTCATTTTAATAAATGACAATTTTCAATTCAATACATTCTCTATTGTTTATTCTATCAACCATCAAACAAAGCACAACATACAGAATGGTGCCATAAAATATATTTATGTGTATCCCTCTCCTTGTTATAATAGATAACGTTTTATTGACTTGGTCTCATTTTCTATTAGTTACCCGCGTGTCGCAGTGGTTAGAGCATCTGCTATAAATTCGCGGATTAAGGGGCTGAGCACTACGTCACGGGTTCAACTCCCCTCCGTAACAAAGAAGCTCGTCCTTCCAATTATACCTTGTAAAAATTGTGATCCAGTAGATTTTGCACGAAAAGATTTCCTCAGAATAATCAATGGCCTTGATTGCCAAGAAAAGGTATGCAGTTCTTCACCTGCAAAGTGGTGGTGTCTCCATATGGGTGTAAACCTCACAAAAGGGACGTTGAACAACAAACAAGCAATCACTTAAGCAATAAACATTTTCATTACCTCGTTATTTTTTTTTGGGGGGGGGGGGGGGCAAAAAAAAAAGGGTACTTAGCAATATTGTCAGGAAAAACCATATCATGTCTTTGTCATCTGTCAGGTTCTTTATGTGTCACTTCCATGGGAAGGACAAAGCACCAAGTCTGCATAATAGGCAAAAAATGGACCGGTTGGAGTAAAATGGAACCAAGACCTTCTGATTTACTTGTCCTGTAATCTATCAAGATGATTGGATCCTACGGCCTGATATAAAATTCTTTATTTCTTTATTTTATATACTCAATACATCAATATCACTATTCTTGACTAAACATAATCAAACTTTTGGTTTTTTAATGCATCACATTTTAGCAAAATTAACTTCATTTTAATGTGTGCATCTTCTTTGTTATCACACGTGTCGCCCGTTGACCAAATATACTGTCCTTGATTGGAAATACAACGGAATCCTTGATATTGGGGTATTGGAAAGAATGGTAAACTGTTAATTTAAAGCACTCTTTATATTTGATATACGCATTAAAAATTGTAACTGATTTCTATAACAGATGTTTTCTTCAGTAAAACTTTGTAAAATGTAAATCAACAGATCAATGCAATATATATTATCAACATGCATCTATTTATAAACGTGCAATATCTAAAACAGTTTTTCCCGGATATATGTCGTTCTTAAGTATCTTTTTAATTTACATCAACGTATAATTTGTATACATACATGAGTAACTATCTTTTTAACAAATAGTTACTGTGTCGTCCAAGTGTTATTACCATCCTTATCAAAGCAGGAAAATGGATTTTCATTATTTCTAAATCTGTGTGAGACCGGGGAATAATAACTTAATATTAAACAATAGAAGGAGAAAGAGGAGTCGTTAAAATGTGGTTAATCTACATACAGTTTGTAACAGGTAAACAATCACTTTTTATCAGCATTCTTTTTCTATAGAATATTAGTATAAAAAAACTATTACTAAATCAATAATAATTCATTTATTTTCAACTATAATAGGCATATATAGAAAACCTGTTCTCTTTCTCATTTGTTTATGTAATAAAATCACTTTTATGGTATCTTAAATTCTATGTAGTACGTAATATAATCGTGCATATACAATGGTATACTTAATAGAAACACATTACTGTTACAGTAGATCATTAGTATACACATAAGTAGTTTTTCTTTTTAAAATCATTCTTCTTGTCTGTGATGCCAGAAAGGGCTCTTATTTGGAAATAAAGAATCTATCTATATTCCGATATTTACAGTAAAACTCGTTTAGTACGAACACAGATATTGCAAAATCGCCGATACAGCGTACTTATCTATCTTGTATCCCTTGATATATTCTTATAATTTAATTTTATTTGTAACCCGTCATTTGATTGGGTAAAAGATTTTAGGCATTTCTTACAACATAACTTGCCTACGTCACAATGAGTTACGTCAAATACGTATTACTCCGCTTGACGTTACTTTCCAAATAATGCTCAATTTGAAGCCTTTTTCCGGGGGAAATATTGTCTCATTGTATACACTGAAATTAAATTATATGGAATGAAGGTGATTTCAAGTTATGTTATCCGATATAACAAAACTTGGGCAAGTTACGCTTTCTTATAAACCGCTTCGCGCTTTATAAAGCGTAAACAGCCCCAAGTTATGTTATATCGGATAACATAAGTTGAAATAAGCTTCATTCCTTTGATATGGATATAACGAATTACGGATATAGCGAATTAATATAGGTCCCAGTGACTTCGTTATAACCGAGCTTTGCTGTTTAGGCTAAATGATAAATAAAAGATACGTATTTTTCAGCATTTGTAGACAGAGTGTCGG